CGCCAAACGCAACAAGATGCTGCGTGCTTCTAAGCGCGCCAAGGACGGTGGTTCGATGCGATACTTACCCGAAGACCTTCCCCGTTTTCGCCGGAGATACATTTGTACGCACGGGTCGCGGACCCGCCGCCGTGGATCTGGAAAGAGACAGCAGTTCAAGCTTCGAGGTACTGGTTGTCCATTTCGCTTTACTGCGGAGAGTGTGTACCACAAAGGAAAGTGGATTCTAGAGATCAAAAATCCCATCTACACTCACAACCACAAACTTTCCCAGGACATTTACGAACATTATCCACACAATCGCCAAGTTCCGATGTTTGAGCCTCTAGTCGAAGACCTTCGGTTGATGGTACGCGCTGGAGGCAAGAGTCTCCGAATTTACGAGTACATCCGTGACAACTCCAGGTACAAAGTGACGCAGAGAGATGTGGCGAATCTTCTTACCCGAATTCGCAATGAGCTCCGTGGACAGGCCGATGATGATTTGGCTGTTGCCGAATTTCTTGTCGGCTTCGGCGAGGAAGACAAGAACAACGTGGTAAGTGTCGATGACACGTCAACGGGGGGGACAGGATCAATCTCACTGAGTACAGGCCACATGCGAGCGACGTTTGCTAAGTATCCGGAGCTGTTGCTGGTGGACTGTACGCACAAAACCAATCGGTAAGTTCATAACAGGTTCTACACCAGGTTTACATTCCTTGTTTCAACCAGGCTTCCAACAGGATACGAATCAGGTTTCGTACCAGGTTTCCTACCAGGTTTTAAGCTACGGCTCAAAACAGGATTAAACTGTTCATTCTTTTTAACACTTGTTTTTATGTTTTATAGATACGACTACCACCTTTGCAGTCTGATGGTGATGGATGCCTTCGGGTCTGGTCAGTTCGTACAGCACTCCGTTATCGAGACCAACTCGGATTGGCATATGCGGAAGGTCCTCAGCCACTTCAAAACTGCCAATGTCATCTGGGAGTCGCTCCGCGTGGTGATGGTTGATAAAGACATGAAAGAGATCAGTGTGATACGGGAGGCATTTCCGGATGCTACTATTCTGCTCTGTCATTTTCACGTCTTGAAGTTTTTGCGAAGTGTGGTTCGTGAGGCTCGCTTCGGACGCTATTCGGCAGACGAGTACGACTCGATGAATCATCTCTTCTCCAATCTGGTAGACGCTCCGTCCAACGAGGAATACGCGAAGAATTATTCTATTTTGGAGAAGTTTTCCTGCGCGCATGGGAACACCTCCTTCTGGGAATACTTCTGTGAGAATTGGGACAAGTCGAAGGACATGTGGACTAATATCGCCGCCAAAGACTGCCGCATTTTCGCAATAATACGAATAATCGCATCGAGTCCAATTTTGGAAAGCTCAAACTCGATCTTGATTCATCGTCCACAATGAAGGAGTGCTCGGAGTCTCTCATGCGTCATCAGCGTCGCGTAGAAAATGAAAGTTTAGCGAGAGAGTCGTTCAAAGGAAGGTGGACGCATTATGGCTATGATCAGGAGTTAAACTTGGTGCTGCGTATTTGTACATCTTGGGTAGCGTCTACGATGAAATCTGAGTACGAGTTTGCTATTTCGAGTGAAGCCACAGCGCTATACGCCTTCCTTGAAAAGCCAAGCGATACCGTTGAGGTTATCAGCGGAGATCATCGTCACAATTTTTCAAAAAGGGAGTGGTGCTGTGACTGCGATTTCAACCAGACGCTGAAGTTACCATGCCGTCATGTTATTTGCTATCGTCGAGTATCGGCTTTAGTTCCTGTGATTCCAGTGTCATTTATACATGAGCGCTGGTTATCAACTGGTGCCGCCCGCCCGGTGTCTCTCCCCCCGGTTGACTGCTTCAACTACACGAAGACAATTTGCCCCTTACGGAGTTACGATTCATCGACTGTTTTGGATTCGCGACAGAAGTATGGCGTAACTCGAAACTTGATGAGTCGGATATCTAGCGAAGTTTCCGATTTACCGATGTCTCAGTTCTGTAAGGAAACTGAATTCCTCAACGGATATTTGCGCAAACTACGAACGGGAATCACAGAAGCGCGGTATGAGCCTGATCGCTGTCAGTCCGAAGATGCTGTCCTAAATCCTGGAAAACCTATAAAACCTGGGAGGAATCCTGGGAACAAACCTGTCGGGTTTAAAGGACAAAAGCTCAACATCTGCGAGATAGACTCGAACACATTTGTCGAAGCGTGCGAGGATATAATATCACAAAAACGTGATACGGACAATGTTGAAGGAGAGGCCAAGACTCAAGAAACAGGGAATGACTCGGACTTGGAAAGAAGTAGTGTCGAAAAACCTGACGCAATACCTACATCTACACCTGGTGTAAGACCTGGCAGTCAAGCTAGTGAACCTACGACGAACTCTACAGAGGACGGCTGCAAGGATCTATCAACAACGGAATCGTCTACCATCAAGTCGATTAACTTAAGCAAAAAGGTGAGGCGCGCCGGAAGACCGAAGGTTACAGCTGCTCAAAGGGTACAAACCAGGCGGGTTGCACGAAAACAGTTCAACTCAAGATTGGACAAAGGTGGCGAGTTGTCCTTCGAGGACGTCGGAGTTGTGGCAACAGCCATGGAAGGAAAAGATAAGAACTTACGCGAGATTTCAGATTTACTGGAGGTCTATCCAGTGAGGCATGGAGATGCTGAGCGTAAGCACCCCAAAGTTGGGACAGATCGGAAACCGATCCTAAGTGCAGCGTTATCCTTCCTGTTACCGAGAGTACTTGTGCAGAAGTGCTTGGATGTCCTCTACAAGTCGGGCGCTGTCCCCCTACCATGCCAGAATGATGATGACCCACCGTACGTGAAGCTGACAGGTATCGGAAAATTTTCCCTCTATCAACTCGATTGTATGCAAAAATTGTGGACTCTGAAAAGCGTTTCGGAAAAAGGACAAAACGCTGTAGAATGGCTAACGTCGATTCAAAAGGGCAAAACTGAAGCTGATCACGCCGCAAAGTATTTGTTAGAGTCCCATCCATATCAGATTGTGGATGATAGTCTACACTGCGATCTAGACTACTCGACGCTATATCGGCTACAGCCTGGGGACTGGATTAGTGGCCAGATTTTTGAAGCGATTGGAGCATTTTGGACCAAAGCATATAGTGTTCGAGTTATGCTGACACAGGAGTTGAAACTGAACAGGAAGGTGAGAATGGCGGAGCTACCCGCTGATGTTGTGCAAGAGCTGAAGACGTGTGATACGAAACTCGTTTTCCTTCCACTCAATTTTGATCGCATTCACTGGACGTCCATTGTGATCAACACTGCGACCAAGAGCATTTTCATTTACGACCCTTTGGGAGATCCAGACTACATTGCGTACCTGAACAAAATCAAAACGCGCCTTTGCAAAGAGAGCAAGTTTGCTTCGTACAAATCCGTTGTTGTGGCATCTCCTACCCAGAACGACGGGAATAGCTGTGGTATTTACGTACTCAACTTTATGTGGAGGCTTCTTGACGACAAGATCAGCAATGTGCAGAAGGACCCTCAGCTGAATAGCTTTAGAGTTCGGATGTTGTCCGCACTACTAAGTCAATAAATGCACTCATTTCATGTCAGATATTGAAGTGGTGTTTGAGTCCGAGCTTATCCGTATTGCCGCCGGTAAAACCTCAAGTACAAGAACCTGTTTTAGAACCTGTTGTCAAACCTGCTAGATATCCCTTCACATATTTGGGATATCGTGCTGATATCGCTCTAAGTACAACAACCTGGAGTAAAACCTGTTTGAATACCTGGGATGATGTGGCGTGTCACGTTTACATGCACAAAACTGGCGTCCCAGACACTGTATGAGCCCCACATAAGAATTGCAGACCTGCCATCCAATCATTACGATTACAGCAACCTCCGTACTTCAACAAATTGGGTTGTGCAAATCCTTTTATTCCACCGTCTCGTGAGTATGCAGAGTTCTAAACAAAACAAAGAAAGGCCAAGATGCGTAAATTACATTTTTATTTCAATGCGAAATACATTACGACCTGGTTTCAATCCTGCTTCAGGTTGTGTACCAGGTTTAATTCGCACATCTATGCACCAAAAACCTGGGCAGTAACATCGTGCTAAATTCTAAGTAGTTCGCCATCTAAACAGTATCAGAGCCCAGAAACAACACCCCACACACACCATGTCTTAAAGTGTTGAAATATTAAAAGGGTTGTCAAAGGGTTAAAAGTACACGCAGCACACGGCGCTCCTATCTGTATCCGACAATGATAACCGGGTATTCGAGCTAACGTTGCGAAAACAGTACGGCGTAGATTCAACTCTGTATGGAACTTGTCAAATCAAGGCCAGTTTTAAGACCCCACTTGATCTATCTGCGCGGTACATTTGTACCACAAAAGTTTCCTAACTTTTATAAAATAAAGTTCGATTTTTGTCTCAGAGAATTCGGATTTAAAAAACATGATGCGATAGCAACGCACTTGCCGATTTCCCACCGACAGACCTCGTTCTAGTACAAATTCTTAACACCTCCATGCTGAACGTGCTGCAGCAGCCCAAGGACCTGTACCATACGATGCGTGAGACGCTATTCGCGCGATTTGTGCTCGCCATCCTCACGCCCTTCATCTTCGTGCTCGGGGCACTGCTGCGCTCACACTACCGCAAAGTCAACGGAGAACGCACCCCAGGCCTGACACGCTACCGGCAATGACACAAGCAATCATCAACACGCAGCAGACATTCTATTTGGATAGGACCAACAGAATAATATACTACAGTAGTAATTAACGGTACAATCAGCAGTTTTACAACACCGTCAACTCATGTTCACATATCCTATTTAGATCGTGACAGTGCTTTTTCATGAGGTCTTCGCTCTCTCGCCGCGTTCTACTTGCTACTGCTGTTTGGGTGAATGTCAGTGATGTTGCAGTTGTGATGGCAGAAGGAGAGAAGCCCGCGCATTCCGTGTGTCGCTTTGTTGCCAAGGGCACGCTGTCCTTTTGCTCCATGGTGGACTACATGGCAATAATCGACGCCGATGATCCTACAGGGACAGAATTCGACAGCAAGGCCGAATTCTACTACCGCAACGTTGACATTGGGCTCCAACGCTTTGGTTGTCACGCCAAGAACAGCATCTACGGATGCGACGACTGCCGGGGAGATAAAATTCCAAAAGTGCGGCTCACACACTGTGACGACCGATTGAGGCGCCACAAAGCTGGTCTATTCAACGGACACGTGTCTATCGATCTGCGAAGATGTCGTGAGGAAATGCCCCTATATGCTCAACTCTCAGTGCCCGATGGTAGGCTCTCGCAGCAAAACTGCCTGCTATCTGTTGACATAGCCTTATACACATGGCCGTTGTTTGCTTGACAGACCGAGACGCCCTTCTTCTCAGCCGATATCGCAACTTGCAACAAGCTAGACCGAGCCGCCAACCGGGATCGTCCAAGTCGCCCGTGGCCAGCCACATTTGCAGCCGCGTAAGATATCAGGATGTCTTGCAGCTTTCGCGTACGTCGATACCTGTCAGTTTGAAGAGAAACCCAAAAACGAGACGCAGAAAACGTGGGCTATATATTTGTAAACCTTGGGAGTCTTGTTCATAGGCTTCGAATTCAAGGTAAAGTGAGAATACTACATGCAGTGACTGCACATAATTGTCTCCGTACACAGGAATGTCCACCACGGCGCAGACAATTTTTATTAACTCCTTATAACTCAATTCCAGTTCGGATAGCGCAGGGAACGCATCACCTCGAGCGGCTAGGAAATCCTCGAACTCTTCCTGCCACAGCTCCATTAACGGAGAAAATGGCGGCATAGGTTGCCTGTAGTTTACCTAAGCCGAATGTGTTGTCCGTGGTATCTTTTCGACGCTGGTTATCCGCTGCCCGCTGCGAGCTCTTGCGGACGGTAAGATACGTGCTCGATACTTCGCACGACTTCTCATCTACTGCGAAGTTTGTTCCTATTGACCACACTCACCTGCATCAGCAGTTCTAGCTCAGCTACATTGGTCTGTCCTGACGGTTCTCGCAGGATATCAAAGCCGGTGTTGTCCTCTTTGCCGTCTGGCCTTGGTAATTGACCGACGCATACATGAGATTAGCGGGGGTAATGCTTGGATGGATTAGCTTGAAGTGACACGAACCAGAATACCATCAAACGGAAGAGTAAACCCCGGAAGGAATGGCTCTAACCGCATTTCAATCTCGATATCTTCAGGGGTGTAGGCGTCTGTCAGCTATCAACAACGCGCGCATAAATTATAGTAAGCATCACACGAAGCAGGTCTAGTTTGAGATCTCACATCATCCAAATCAATTTATCTTCTGTAGGGTGCTAAGTGCACAGATTATTTCACTCACTGAGTTGTTTCATACAGTATCACAAGATATATGTATTTCGACCAAGTGCTTCAAACATTATTTACTGGATCAATGGGTTTTGATGTCGCGACAGGCAACATTCTTCTGTGTTTTATTTCTTCTAATGTTCATTATGAGCTGCTCATAAGAGGTCAATCAATATTTTTTAGAACCGGGTTTGATATTGGCATGAAGACTGACACGGAGAGCAAAACCTATCGTATCGCACAAAACAATTTTATTTAGCAGACTCGCGCTATTGATGCGCGCTCGGCTCGATCACCTGTCGTACCAAACGTTTTTATGCATAATATATTACCAAATCAACATTGACGAATTCAAAGTGGTTCGCCATCTAAACAGTATCAGAGTTCATGAACAACACTCCCCACACCATGTCTTAACCCCCCCAAAGCGACGGCCTGTATTATACACGTTTCGTAGGGAGGGCTTATCCTGTATAATACACGATAAATGGTGCATGAATGATCTGCTAGTTTTTCACCTTGTTTTTGTATACGTTCATACAAACGCTAAGCCAAAGAGGGATAGGTATGTGAAGCCTGATCCCCATCCTTCCTGGTGCGGTGTGCGCAAGCGGTGCATTGCACAATTTTTTTATAAAATAAAAATTTAGAGGAAACTCAGCGATATGTGGTTCGCGCCAAATCAATATAAGAAACTGCAGGGATTTTCAACGCCACTCATTTTGGCGCTCATTTCAGAAAACTCCCGCTCCCAGTCAGATGTCGGGTTTTCGGGCCCGGTGGAAGGAACTACGGCAAGAAGGCTGGTCTTCCAAGTCTCCTACAGGCCTCTCAAATGACCACACCTATCTGAAGCCCGGTAAAAGCAAGACAGACATCCGCGGAATAGACTTCTTTGTAGGGGAGAAGGAGCTGATGTCGTATTTGGATCGACTCGACCTTGGTAAGTTGTTTATTCTAATGATGTATTGAAAACTTGAGCCTAACCGTTGACGCGTGTATAGATGAGCTTGCGAGGCAAAAGGAAGATGAACGACAGACCGACGACGCCACACACGCATCCTCGAGGCAAGACGATGGAGCCACTCCACCTGATGACGCTACTACACCTCCAACAGGTATATTTTACAACGCCTGTACATTACACCGTACCTGTCTAACACTATCGTGTATTATGCAGTTAGTACAGTGCGTGAAGAGCCACTCTCAACCACCCCAGTACGACAACAGACGCACCCCAGCTCTCCAATGCAATCTCACTCCAGTGCACCGCTAATTACTACTTCGCCGCATGAAGCTGACGACGATATCGATGCATTATTTTCGTCAAGTCCAGACACACCCGGTACGTTTACTGTGCCATCCATACAATTCGAAGGTGTTGTAGCTAACTCTTTTCAACGTTGTATTTTTCCAGTTGTGCCAACCACTTCAAGGCGCAATCTGTATGAACTGTTTGGGTCTTCTGATGAGTCAGATGACTCTAACGACTCTCCGCAAAGCCCCACAAATGTGCAACAGTCCGCAGACGGCGATCGCGTGGACGCGGCATCGAACGCTGCGTTTTCCTGTTCGTCTTTTTTATCTGGTAGGTTCAAACGTGTATGTACACGATATACAATTCCTTTGTATACATGATACACATACATGATAATAACAACTATCATGTATATTTTAACAGACGATCCTAACATTGTAACGCCCGGCGATGACAAGTATGTCTTTGCAAGTCTTGATTCGGACGAGGAGGGGGGAGGATTCTCTGTGTACGACGATGATGAAGAGCTGGAGCTTGCTGAGCCTGATCCCAGCATTGAAGATGAAGATGTCGTCCCACCTGAGCTTCCATTTGATGCGTCTCTACTTGAAGCAGTAGGTGGTGTTCACGAGATTGCACGTGGCAACCTCAAGGCTGATGTTTTAGCCGACATGAAGGAGAACGGGTGGTCTCCAGTACACAATCAGACGCCTTACCCATACATGGATGAACCCTACGACATGCTTCGCGATGATTGGGCAAATATTGACTATCCGGATCTATTTCGCTGTGAACATGGACCAACTGCTGCAGCGTTGAGCGCTGCCGAGACCCCAATTGGTGCATTTTTTCAGTTCGTCCCGCCGTACTTACTAGAAAGAATTGCGGGTGCTAGTAACGACTACTTTATGGAGAACCTGGACGCGCGAGTGGAGAGTCTACACGCCAAGCAGCTAGATAGGAAGCTGAAAAGGCCTGATTTCCATGTCTCACCTCCGGATATCATAAAGACTAAGCTGCTGAACACGAAGGACATTTCAGGACGAGAAATTGCTATTTTTCTTGGATTACTTATTGCAAGAACCATAGCTCCCAACAAAGAGAGGTTTGATAACCATTGGAAGACTACAGATGAAGGTGCTATTCCTCGTGGCTGTTTTAACGCATTTATGACTAGATATCATATCTCGCGGAATCTCCACTTTAGCAGCAATGCTGACGCAAGAGCGCATATCGATCGAGCTTGGAAACTCCGCCTGGTGATTGACGTGCTGCAAGAAACATTTCAGGCCAGTTTCATCCCACCTCCAATAATGGCGTTTGACGAAGCGATGCTTCCGTGCACGTCTCCGTTCAACGAGATGAGAATCTTCATGAAGGACAAGCCCCATCGCTGGGGCACAAAGCTTTTTATGCTGTGCTGTTCCAAGTCTGCATACTGTATCAGGTAAGGAAAAGAGCGTGCCCGAAGGCACGCTCTTTTTTTTTGGTTTCAAAGTTACCTTATCGTGTCTTCGGCGTGCTAAAACCTTTTGAACTAGTGTGTATATTACCGGTTTGAAGTCTATTGTGGAAAGCAACAAATGCAAGACAGTAGCACACCCAGTGATGAAAAATCGGGACCTGCCGCAGTCGTACGGAACTTACGTCAAGTCTTTGGCGTCAACGGACCAACTGAGCGACGTCTCATAGTCACCGACAGGTTTTACACCTCTGTCGTGCTGGCTATGCAGCTGCTGACCATGAACTTCTACAGTTTGGGCACAATAATGACGAACAGAAAGGGGCTGTGCAAAGCAATTCTACCAAAGAAGACTAAAAACGGCAGGAAGGAATCAAAGAAGCGACCAGCACAGATCGTCAAAGGAACGTATGACGTAGCCACCCTCCAAAAGGTGCCATCGATCAAGGCCGTCCGTTGGTGGGATAATCAAGCGGTGTATCTGCTTGCTGCTGGAGGAAGTGCAGTACCAGACCGTATCGTGCGTAGGAATCCAGTAGCTGGAGATCAGACAGAGTTGATGTGTCCACGGATCGTTAAAGACTATCAGACTTTCATGGGCGGAGTCGACGTTCACGACCAGTTACGTCTACAACGGCAAGTATTCATATCCTGTATATACACGTTGAAGTCATCGTTTTAACATGTATTGTACGTATTATTAGGTATTCACTGCAATTGGCTCGGTGCTACAAGAAGTACTACAAATCTCTCTTTCTGGGACTGATAGACATGGCTATCATCAATGCTTTCATCGTGCACAATTACCATCGCGCGGCAACCGGGAAGCCAAGGGTTTCCCACGTGACGTTTCTGAAGACGCTTCATCTACAGCTCTGTCAGTTGCTACCGGAAGATTGGGTGCAGCTTCTTCGCCACCGCGGGCATCACGCGACGCCAACGCGGGCACGACAAGCTCGAGCGGCGCACATGCCTGTACAGGCCGACGAGTGGCGCAAAGGAAACTCCGATAAGACGAGAAAGCGTAGGCAGCGTGCGTGCAAGGTTTGTTCGGTGCTAAAAGGCGCTGCCACGTCTCGAGGAGGGGAAACGACATTCTACTGTGCTGAATGTAAGCTGAAAACAACATCAAGACACGAGTTAGCCGCACGCGTATTCCTCTGCAACAAGGTGAAGCGTTGCAGCAAAGGCGAACCTACTTCGTGCTGGGATATCTGGCATAAACACTGGAAAAATGGGACTATGATCCCTCAATCAGGACGCAAGCGCAAAATTCGAGCCCGGAAGCCCGCACGCGCTGCAAGTGACGGTGGCTCTGATGCCAGCGACTCGGAGTCGCAGTCTAGAGCTGAAATCGGAAGTGTTTCCTCTCAGGGTCGCTCGGGATGGCGGCCACACACCAACGATGA